AAATAAATAAATATTTTAGGCTTTGAGGTCTAAAAAAAAACAAAAAGAAAAGAAAAATACAAAAGTAACAAGTGTCTATTTACATACCTCTCTCCATATGGGAGAGTATGAGTTTGAAACATTTAGCGATATTTGGCACATAGTACCTGTTTAACAAATATTAGCTGAATGAAAATATGAATATATAGGAGCTTGTTATTTATTTAATGAATCATTTATATTTTGGAAGCTGGCCAGTATAGGGATATGAACACTTGACCGTGGTGTTGTAACACTAAGCTCTAATCAACTGAGCTAACTGGCCAGCCTCCAAGTGCTTATTATTTAAAGAAATACTTCAATCACCACGTTTTTCTTTTTGTTTTTAATCCTGAGTGGTATGGTAAACAGAACATGGCTTCCTATTTCACTCAGAATAAGATTCCAAGTCCTCACTATGGCCTAGAAAGCCCTACATGATCTTCAACTCAACTGTCTGAGACTCACCCCTGACCACTCTCTCCTTTGCTCACTTTTCTTCAGCAACCTGACCTTCTTGTGTTCCTCAAACAAGCCACACATTCCTGCCTCAGTGCCCTTGCACCTGCTCTTCCCTTTGCCTAGAACACTCATTTTTTCAGTCTCTGCTCAAGTGTCACTTTTTGAGAGACTTCCTTCATCACCCTATCCAAAACAGCATATCCCTTTATTCTACAGTATTTGTCCTTGTATAACTCCTTGTCCCCTGACATATTATATATTTCTTTTTATTTATTTGTCTCCCCAAACTGGAATGTCAGTTTCAGAATGGCAGAAACTTTGCTCATTTGGTTCACACTGTACCCACTTCTGCCTTGGAAGTACCTGACACATCATAGGAATTCAATAAATATCTGTTGAATAAACAAATTAATGAATATTAGATTGTAGTCCAGATGCCTGGTTTCTAGTCCTAATTCTACCACTAAAAAGTTTTGTGACTTTAAGCAAATGTCCCCTGACACAGTTTCTGAATCTGTAAAAGGACTGGTTAGAAATAAATAATTCTAAAGCCTCTCCCAGCTCTAAAATCCTGTGGGTTTTATAGATCTGCCTTTTACAAATGATCTTCTATGAAGGTTTAGCAACACAAAAATCTTTTTTTGATATGCACAAACTACAAGCCCTCTGGAGTACTTCATTATGATTCAAAACCATACTCCAATGGTGAAGCCTTCTCCAACCCTTCTAAGTAGTGTGGATCCTAAGACTTTCTTCCTACTTTGAGGTGCTTCATGTAGACCTTTTCTCTAAATTTCTACTAACAGTTAACGACATAATTATGTTTTTACGATTCTCCATCTAGTATGTGAACACCTTGAGGACAGTGATGAATTCTTAGTAATTTTTGCATCCTCAGCACCTTTCACAGTCCATGGCAAATAGTAGGCACTTCATGAATGTTTAGAGAATGAATGAATACAGGTAAGCCAAAGTGGAATAGGATCGTTACTCATATTTAAAACCAAGACCATCATTCTCCCCTCATTGATGAATGGTGGGCAGAAGATAGAGCTTTGCTGCCGATAATGAGTCACCTGAAGGAATATAAGAAACCAAAACTTACTGGAAACCTACTAAGAGTCAAGCACTCTTACACACATTCATATAGTTTATTTAATCCTTACTGCAATTTATGAATTAGGAATTATTACTATCAATTTACAGATGAAAAAACTGGGCTCCAATAGGATAGAATTTGCCTGTGATCAAACAGCTAATAGAATTCATATGTATGTATGCATGTATATACACATATATGTTATATATACACATACATGTATATACATATACAAACATATGTTACATACCGTATTCATATCACTAAATGACATATCAAAAGGGTAGTTCTCTCATCCAGTATAAGTATTAGTGTGTGTAAATGATGAGCTTTCCCACACGATGAAAGCATTTTTACAATTTTTTCCTCAATTCAGAAAGGTATCTAGAGAAAATTCTATATGTTATACCTGAAAGGGTAAAGAAAAGTTTACAAGCAAATTATTCTCTGTCTTTTGAATTTTTAATAGGTTTTTTCTTATAATACAATGCACTAATACTCATCATATAAAAGCTGAAAAACAAAGGTAAGTATAAAGAAAAAATTTTAATCAACCATTACCCCATCACTCAGAGACAACCCTATTAACTTTTTTTAACTTTAAAGTTAACCTTTATTAAGTTAACCTTAACTTAACCTTTATTAACCTTTCAAGCCTTTTCCAATACATCTTTTATTTTATAGTTGAGATCATTTTAAATTGTACTATGAAATTTTTTTTCAAATTCAATATAAGCATTTTCTGTATTGTTAGAATCTTCATTTTGATAATGGCTTAATAATGTTATATCAAGTAGAATGCAATAATCAATCATTCTGTTATTATTACTTAGGCTATCATTTTTCACTTTTATGTGCCTCTCAATTAAAAGAAAACCACAAAATTAGTTTGTAACGCAGCTTCTGAGAATGGTTCTGACCTCTGAGAAAATGTAGAGATAACTTTTCCATTCAAGAAGGGGAAAAACTCCCACTACTATTCAAAGAGATGCAGTCTTTCTTTTTCCTCTAATAAACTTTCAAAGTAGGAACTAGATTGGACCCATCCCAATTTCACCTGTAGTAAGGAAGGGTCTCCTTAAAAGACTGGAGGTGGTAAAAGTCTAAAGGTTCACACCTTGGTTCTTACATTTTCTTGCCTTATACCCTCCGTAATTATATGAAGCCTCAGTTTCCTCATCAGTATGTAACAGAATAATCATCTAATAATGTTGATGGCAAGGTTTAAAATGAGACAACCTATGTAAACACTTAGCACCATGCCTGGCACAGAGTGAGCAAGCCCTCTTTTAATTGTAAAACTTTCTTGGAAGAGCCAAGAGGAAGGGGTGAAGAATGATGAGATGTCATTCTCACCTTCCATCCATTAGAGAATATGCCAAGTTCTCACCTCTAGTCTCAGAAGAAAATAGAACTTCAAGCCATATTTGGAAACTCATGTACAACAAAGTGGCTTGATTCCTGACCACAATCTGAGGTAGAAGTGTTCGGAGACTCCCAGTTTCCCAGGAGTCCCTCCCCACTGACCTCTCCCTATACCTAGCTACAGGTACCATCTCTTTTCCTACTGCCCCATCAAGGTCCAAGCCCTAGATATCTCCTCTCTTTCGGTTACTGCCTCCCTGACCCAACCCTTCTCAAAACCCAACTTCCCAATCTGCTCACCAGACTAATTTTCTAATAACACCAGTCTGTTATCCTAGCTCCTGTTCAGAAGTTTTACTGACTCCTTGTTACCCATGTCATCAAATTAAAAATCTGATGGTTTTTCAAGGCCTCCATCACTCCCTCCCTTATTCTCTCATGTTTCCCTCCACTCTATTCATTCTGACCTCCTTCCCTGGTGTCTTACCTTGCCGTCTATAGTCAGAGCAGGCTGAAGTTTACTTCAGATAAATATTATCTTTACCTGATGGTCTCGACCTTTGACAAAGGGCAATGCAACCCCAAAGTGGTGCTTTGAATTGTCAGCTGCTTACATTTTAGTGCAAATGAGATTTTAGATTCTCTTGGGTGCAATGTTGGTTGGGCAAGGATATGAGGATCCCAGACACCACTAAGGGAAAAAGATTACAATGGCTGGGGTTGAGACTTCTACTTCTCAATACCGCCCCAGAATCACAGGTCTGCTACTCCCTGTTCCATTTCCCCTGGGTGCCTTCTCCTCTGCTCTTCCTTTATGCATCTCCCCCCCCTTTTGTAAGGCCCAGCTCATACCCATTACTTCAAGGAAGTCCCAGCTCTATACTCTCTCTTCTGACCTTCCACAGTGCCCATGGTCAGTCCTCCCCTTCACCCTATAGCACATCGTCTCATCCTCCCCATATTTCTCCCTAACTTTTTCCACAAAGTCCTTGAGGGCAGAGGCTGTCCTGCTTCCTTCCCATTTGATAGTTGCTGGTAAACATGTAACTGATTCAAGACTTCTCTGCCTGATGATTTGACCTAATCAGTGCTACTCTGTAGGCTACTTGTTCAGCTTCAGCTCTGTTGGCTTTGGCTGGGCAGCACTTCTAACTGTGGTAAGATGGACATTCTGAAATAGTAGGCATCTGCCACCGCAGAAGCCTCTCTGTCGATATGAACAGATTTAGGAAGAGCCCAGATCTACCGACTGACACGCACTCAGGCAAAATAAAAACACCCATGCTCAACAAGAACAAGTGAAAGTAGAAACAAATCCATAGAGAAAGGAGAGGATTTCCACTATTCTCATCTTAGGGCATACATTAAGGAAGCGGGGGAGGGGAGATCAAAGCGGAAGGAGACCCATCTTTTTATACAATATTACTTAATAACATTCACATTCACTGAAACGTTGATATTTGGGACTATTAAAAAAGAAGCAGGATTTCAAGAACAGGGGTTACTGAAACTCATGCTTCTTTTCTCCAAATAATTTTTGGGCCTTTGTACCAAAATAAATAAAGTTCCCTTATAGCAACCTATAGCCCAGTGCTAGGCACCCAGGACAGCGCCGTTCATCTGAAGCTACCAGAGCGACCCTCTCTGCCTCCGCCTCCGCCCCCACCCCCACCCCCTCTACTTCAGGCTTTCAAGACTGCTCTTGCTCTTTGCGTCAGCTGTAAGCAGTCCAGCACATTTCTGCAGTTAGGCAGGACCTTAAGTAAATCCCCAGGAATAAGCAAGAGCAGCAAGTCACAAGGAGATGGGCGCCCGGGGGAGGGATAGTGAACTTTGCTGCAGGCGGGCCTGTCACTCCAACCGACAGCGAACACCTTCACCTTCAAGTTCTCTAAAAAGGCAGCGCGCCAGACAGCAGGCGCTTAGCTCGAGGTTTCCCCGAACTCTAGAGGTTAAAGAGAAGCAGGAGAGGGCGCGGCGTGCTGCCTCAAAAGGAGGCAGCCTTGCGGGGCCTGGGCCGTGCGCTCGGCTGCGGCCGGGGGGAGGCTCACTCTACCTGGCGTCCGGCTCCTCCTCCGACTCCGCCGCCGTCTCGTCCTCCTCGCCCTCCGACTCCTCGTCGGTCTCCAGGCCCCGGACAGCGTCCTCGTCCCCGTCGGAGCCGAGGAAGCTCTCGGCGGCGTGGTTGCTGTCGCCGCTCGCCATCGCGCCTCTCCCGGGCCGGAGCCGGAGCCGCCCTCGCCGCGCCTGGTGTTCTCCCTCTGACTGCGCCTCTGGCCCCTGCCCGGCGGGGCGGCTCGGGTTCCCGGCGCGGGGGCCGGGCGAGCCCCGCGACTTTAAATAGAAGGCGTCAAAAAGTTTCGCCACCGAGCCTCTGGGGCCCGGGTTCAGCGTCTCCTCTTCCCCGCGCTTCGGCCAACCTCCCCCTCCCCCGCCCCCGTTTTGGCAGATCCCTGGCGGGCCTTTTGGGCAACTGGAGATCACCACTTTAAGGGGCGCCGGCTCCGGCTGCACCATGGGTTTCCAAAAAGGAAAGGCACCCAACCCCACCTCTCTTTCCTCCAGAGTGAGCTTGGTAGGTTTTGTTTCCAGCTGAGTTACTTGAAGGACCTTGTATCCCGACCGAACAATAACTATCCTTCCTGAGCAGAGCACTTAATAGTATCGAGCACTCTGCTTAAGGACCTAACTTTCATTATTCTCTCACAGTAGTAGCTTTTACTGCAGTACCCGTCTCCAAGATAAGGAAACTGAGACTCAGAAGAGCTTGGATAGCTTGCTCAAGGTCCCATTGTTAGCAGACAGACCCAATGAGAAACAAAGCTATGCAAAAGTCCAGTCTGAACCATCGTGCAGTATTGACTCCCTTTATATATGCAAGTCAATAGATTATGTATTCTCTTCCTCGGTGGCCCCTGATCGTTCAGGCAGGAAACTTTATCTCCACTAATCTTAAAACTTGAGGAGGCACAGCTTTCCCCACATTAGTAAAAAGCTACGTTTTGAATGAAATTCAGCCCAAATTCCTTGGATAATGTCAAGCAGGTGCTTAAAACCCCTTGATGCCTACCCCATTGCTCAAGGACTAAAGCCCAAGATCCTCAGGAAGATAAATGCGGTCCAACAGCCCACATTTTACCTGTCTGGTCTCTTCTGTAGAAGTCAGGAGCTATCAAGCCACTCCACTGTGCCTTTATTTACTCACTTCCTTCTGCCTGAAAGGTTCTTCCCCTCTTTATTTACCTGGTTACCCATCATTCAAGATCACCATTTTTCTTTGAAATCCCCAGGCCAAACTTAGTACTCCTTTTTCAGGTTCCTACATCATCCTATATTCAAATTGCATTTGTATCTCTTTCCCCCAGTAGATATGGTAAGTTTACTACTCATCTTTGTCCCACCATTCCCATTCCTTACAAGCCCATAAGCTAGCAAAGTAACTAGCATACAGTAGGTACTTAATGAATGCTTCCTGAAGAGAACAGGACCAGTCTTGCTGATGTACAAGAGGCAAAAATATCTTTACAACACAAAGATATTCTTTTCATGAGAATGATTTTATGTCTAGAACAGCAAACATTTATTTTTAATTACAGCAAATTCTATTCACACACTTGTTAAATATGATGAATGTAGGCTGGGTATTATTCACCAGCTACACTAGCTTGTATGCATACATTAGATCTGCAGGCAAAGAATTATAGATAGTTCAGATACAGTACAGAAGCATCAGCTAGTGGGCATAGAAGGGAAAACAGTACAGTCCAGCCTTACAGGCTTCACTAAACCAGGTTTAACATCAACAATATTTATTATCTTAACACTAGTTAGGCTTTTCAATTAGTAATCCCAAATGACAATGCTCACCTAGGACAAAAAGAATTCAATTCAATCATAGCTGTGGGGAATCTGCTAAACACTAATCAAAACTACAGGTAGCCGTTCTATATTCCTTCTATTTAACTCAAAATTTCTTAGGAACACTAATGTCTACATGATTCATTTGCAAAGATCCTAGCTCAAACCAATCCAAAATTTAGAACTGTAGTACAGACCACACATTTTTAACTAACTACTTTCTTGAGTAACAACACATGCAAATACATAGCAATGAACACATCAATGCAAACAGAAAATAAAAGAATTTATTAGTCACCACGATTTAATACATAATTGAGACTGAAAATAACTTAGAAGTCTAAAAAATTCTCTTATTTATTAACAGTCACTTATCTGACATATTTGGCCTGTCACAAGATGCATAATCTTAGGTTTCAGCCTATTGATTCAGAATTGAGTATAAATTTAAATTTAGTTACTTATCTATTTGTTAGAGTAAAACAGCTGAAAAGAAGCAATAGTAAGGGTGGAGTCCTTGAAAGCTGGAAAAACAGTGGCAGTGAAGGAGTCCACACCATGGTAAATTCTGGGGCTTCATTAGGATACATTATAATACCATAGAGGGACAGCACACTTACCTGTCCCTGAGAGCTGCACTGTATGACCTAATAATACTGTGACTAATATTTATAATAATTACCCAGAGTCATCACTAGAATATAAGTTCTACTCAATGCCTTCTGATGAAGAAAAGTTTGACTGTATAATGAATTTTAGGAAATTTTCCAAGAAAAAGCGTTAATATAGAAAGCTCAATTGCAACAAAATTGTTACACATCAATAATCTAAAAAATTCACCTATGTGGAAAGTTTCATTCCTAATAGTGCCAAAGAAATAAGGTCTTGATATGGTTGGTTGGCTTAACCATGAATGAATTTGATTTCAAATTCTCTGAAGTATCTAAATAATCAAGCACAATAATTGAATTCAGTTCAGTTCTAGATAATAACTACAGCCTCAATCTCATCTAAAAGGAAAAGACTTTCACAGAAAAAACACCACCTCAACAACAATTTCCACATATAAACTTTATTTCTTTTGACATCATACAAAATTTTAAACTAAAAGAACAAAATGAAAATACGCTTTTACAAGTCAAAGGAAAGGAAAAGTTTTATCATTTCAATTAGTAGGCAAAAAAAAAAAAAAAAGAAATACATTGGAGGTACAAACTGTACTACAGCAGTTCTAAAAGAAGTTGTACACAATCCTTTTGAAAAAGTTAAAACTTTTCAAGATTACTTTTTATATTTAAATTTACAGGCACTGACCAATTTACAAATATTTACAGAAATAAAAAACCTTAATAAACACTGTAGCTTTTTAAGCAGCCACTACTACTTCTTTCATGTGGAAAAGAAATACTAAAAAAGATATTTTTACAAACATTAAGCTTTCATTTATAATAACTTTGTTATGTCTTATCTAAAACATTCTGTAGTGGCGTCCTGCCTAAAAATTCCAGTTTAGATTACAATCCTATCACTGTACACAGAAAAAAAAAAAAAAAATCTGATACTACAAATAGGATATAATCTTAACTTTGCTCTCTCAGTTTCTGTTGCTTCATGTCACAGGGAAAATAAAAGCAGGAAAATGGGAAGTAAAGCAAAAGTGCACATTGCACTAAGCTGTCATAAAGCACAGGAGACAATCTTTACAAAATGTCTACACTGAACTGATTCTTTAAAACAATTCACTAACTGCTGTAACAGTTAGTGCTCATATTACAACAGTGCAAAATATATTGTTGTTTAAACACAAAATTTAAAGCAGTCTCAAGAGTACATCAAAAGTGTGTGACGTACTAATGAAATGCTAATATAGACCCATCCAAAGCCTCAGTCTATCCCAGCGAGTCAAGTGAAGACTTAAGGCAACTGTCCAGTATTTCATGACTCTGCAGTGATTTCACTGAAATAAAAGATTTCATTTTGCTTCAAGTAACTGAATAACTGACTTGAATCTTCACCTTACTAGAACAGACTTAAGACAACAAACTATCTACTGTAGATTATACTTTCAGCATGTATGAATCAGACCCTTTCCAAAACCCCACAAATCTCTTCCATATTACATGTGGTATAATTAATTGAAGTTATATCAAAAACTTTTTATTTGTTCAGGTAATTTCCCAAAATATATTTTATCTGATCACCTGAAAATTCATGCCATAATATTACTAATCATCAATGTAAACATTTTCAAAAATACATTTTTAAATCAAAGGGTTTTATTAGGAAATGTCATAATAAAATATGTAATCTTTATATAAGTATGTCCTTTTAAAAATAAAACATGAAAACAAGAACAATTAAAAAGAAAACACAATGAAGGTAAACAAATTCATTATGATGTAACTATTGTTCTTTATTTCTTGGAAGAACTTATTAAGAAATAGAGGCCAGTTATCTTTTCAGGATAGCAGCTCTTAAAGGTAGTACACTGTTCAAATCTCTTTTGTTTTTCAATCTGTGCCATGACTGGGAGAGAAAAAAAAAAAAGCAATTCTTAAAACCTAAAATATATGCAGAACAAAAGACAGAAAGGAGAGTTTAAAAGCATATGAATAGTGGTCCTCTCTAGGTGGTAAAATTTTGGATAATTTTTTTTTTCTTTGTGTTTTTATTTCCCAAGTTTATATAACACGGTACAAATATTGTTTTTGTCATCAGAAAAGAAAATGTTATTGAAAAACTCTATGCCTGTGTGGTTTCAATTCATTTTCAAAGAAATGGGCACATAGGTGATACAAAAAGATACAACTGACAACATTAACATTCATTCACAGATTAAATAATTTCATCTAAAATAGCAAAGTAATTAAACCAAAACCTTTGGATCTGAGAAGGTAAGGAAGGACTACTTTATTTGGTTGACTGTTTTGTGTCTTTACTAGCTTTTTCAATGAAAAATAATGTTTGTGAAGGAGAGAATAAATCTATAATAAAGTACTTTATGTAGGCCTCTGGACAAGAATAGTGAATAGAATTTATAAGAAAAAGAAAAGATACTGAAATTCCTGTTCACAAACTAAAAATCTGGCTCACTACTTGATGGCTGCAAATCTTTTGTCACTCCAGCTGTCTTTTGTCTTAGTCTTTTGTCACTCCAGCTGTCAATTGACTAAAAACATTGGTTTTACAGCTAAATAATCCTAAATGAAAACTTACCCACCAATAAAAACAGCAATGTAGCAATGGTATTTGTGAGCTCTCACTTTAATCTGATAGACAAAAATATTCCCTCCTGGATATTCTAAAAGGAAACAAATTCTGCAGGACAAATTTTCTATTCTGGTTGACAAATTGAGAGGGCCTAATTTGAAAGATAGCTTATAATACGTGCATTTCTAATTATCATTAAAATAAAGTCCACTTGTATGTCTAGATAATGAAAAAATATGCCTCTAAAATGATCTTCACAGTTCTCTGATCTTTCTCTTCTATGAAGCTTTTCCTCCTATTTGTCTCATAGCACATATTTCTACCAATGCATTTCTACACTGTATTGTGGAATTCCTTAAAGATAGGACACATCTAACAAAACCATTGGTGAATAAATTCATACTGTGGACATACACACATTCACACATTTTTTAATATTTTTCAAAATATAAAGAAAAAATGGCATTATAATTCTTTGTGACAATAGGGTCTACAAAAAGAAAAAGAATAAATTAGACATCAGCTTCTTTCTAAGGCTACAGTTCCCTCATATTTTAAAGAAGGAAAGGAGTCCATTAGGTTTTATTCACTCATTTTGAGAGTTTAAAAGCTCTCTGTGACAATGCTTATTTCCACAAAAGTGAAAGCCATGTGAATGAAAACAGAGCCAGATCTCTCTGACGGAAAAGTATAACTAAATTCAAGCAATAAATTCCCTGTTGGGCTATACAACAAAGAAACCAGGACTTTTCTGTCCTGTTATATGCACATATTTTCATTTTTAAAGCACATTAGTCCACTAATGTTTCTAGAGTTAATCTGATGCATTATTTACCTTTAAAAATTGATCCTTGATCATGTCAAACTTCTGCTTTTCATGCACCGCTCTGGCTGTATTTGTTCCATCAAAAGGTTCTGCAATGTTAAATGCACATATAAAGAAGAAATTATTAAAATGAGAATTTCAGTTTTTTAATCAGGCTCGACTATACGAAATTGTCAATATGTGACAGTTTTTGACCTACAAAAACATCAATTTCATATGGTTCAGCTTTATATCTTTATTATATTTATGCATAGAAAAATTTAATATAGCTATGAACTGTCTAATAAGGTAGATAGAATTAAAGTGAAAAGATGATTAAAAATGAAAGTCATCAGCTTATATATGTTAAGTCTAAATCATAAAAGTGATAAAAGTGGGTAAGATTTCCGAAGAATTACACAGAGGGTCAAGGACCTACCCTTAGGGGAATAAAAAAAAGTTAAAGAATAAAGTTATCAAAAAGAATAAAGCACTAGGGCCGAGCCCGTGGCGCACTCGGGAGAGTGCAGCACTGGGAGTGTAGCGATGCTCCCGCCGCGGGTTCGGATCCTAAATAGGACTGGGTGGTGCGTGAGCTCACTGGCTGAGCGCGGTGCGGGCGACACCACACCAAGGGTTGCGATCCCCTTACCGGTCATGAAAAAGACAAAAAAAAAAAAGAATAAAGTACTATATCCAAGACAGGTGGTCAATGTCAAATATCACAGGACACATTATTTTAAATTTAATTTTAATTTAAAAGCTGATTAGTCCAGGAGGAGAAAGGTCAATAACCTTTGAAAGTAGAGGATGAATAATGGAGAAAATGAAAGATAGTGCAGGGAATTAAGGTGTGAGTGTATGGTTTACAAAAAGATACAGTGGGAACTGTAACTTGTATGAGAAATTTGGCAGAGAAAGAAGAGAGAAAAACAGAATAGCAGCAGAGAAGACAGGAGGACAACAAAAGAAGAGTTTTCATGTGTGTGTGTCTCCAACGTATCTACCTTCCATGTCTGTACCCCTGTGCTACTCACCCTCCACCCACAAGATAAGAGAGAAGATTCCATATAGAGAGAGAAAAGGGAAGAAACCAGAAGAGGATAAGGAAACTGAAGATAATAGTGAGCTGAGGAGGACAATGGAAGGCATTAGGAGTGAGATGGGATGACTGAAGTAATGCCAGAAGTAGGTAAAAATTACTAGAAATCAAGAATTTTGGCACTGAAAAAGAAGGGGGAAAAACTACTTAGAAAAGCCAGTAGGATCAAGTCAAGAGTACTTTTCAAGGATGAGAAGACCTCTGTATGCCCTAAAGCTGAAAGTGAGGGAATGGAGAGTAAAAGAATGATGTTGGTGAGGGCCGGCCTGGTGGCACACTGGAGAGTGCGCCACTTGGGAGCGCGGCGGTGCTCCCGCCGAGGGTTCGGATCCCATGTGGAGACCGGTTCCCGCTCACTGGCTGAGCGCGGTGAGGGCGCAACACCGAGGGTTGCGATCCCGTTGCCGGTCCCCTCCCCGGTACGGGCGCGACACTGAGGGTTGCAATCCCGTTACTGGTCAGTAAAAAAGACAAAAAGGAAAAAAAAAAAAAAGAATGATGTTGGTGGAAAGAGGAGAGGAAACTGAAGAGAAAGACCTGAAAACAGTGTAAAAGAATAGGAAATCTCATGGCGGGGTTAACTTTAGATTCGTCGTATAATCTAAGCAGACCCATAATTTTAAAAACTCCTTTCGTTTACTTATTTTTTATTGTTTAGAAAGACTATTTTTAAAAGGAGTTTACTGTAACAGTACTGTGATTTTATTTTGTTTTTTTTAATAGAATAAGGGCTAACTGTATCAGATCACATCAAGCACAGCCCTTAACACAGTGTTTAATATTCAAAACAACACAAGTAACTAAAATGATACACACCTTCTGTGTACTCTATTAACAAACTAAACACCAAAGCAGGAAATTTAATTTCATTTTCATAAACTCTTAAAATGTTGTATACCAACATTAATAAAGCAAATGTAGTTTTAGCAAGGCCATAGCCCTTTAGTTTAAGGTATAGCCTAACTTTTTAGTATTGCACAGAGAAATGCTAAGCTTGGGAAAAACAGAAAACTTTCCCAGGACTAAGTCTCTGTTGTAGATTAAAAAATTGTAACGCAGCAAATATCCTTGCTCTAAGGGCAGTCATCCTTGGTGCAGCTAAACTGAATGATGGGAAAGTATGTGAGCTAAAAGCTTCAAGGTTAATGGTTGGATGATGTTCTACATCTTGTCTTCAGCTGTTCCTTTGAGTTTCTTAGGGAACTAAGCATTGCCATGACAATTATCTCATTGTTCTTTTTGTAACCACCAGTGTTCCTCTTCTGTAACTTTCTTGCCTGGACAATAAAAACTGAGAGAAAACCTCATTTGAGGCTATTCCTAGGAATTCTTCTCTCTTGAAAGAATTGATCCTGGGATTAACCCCTTCTGGGCCTCTTACTGCTCTGGAGAAATGGGCTTTGAATAATCCTTTGCATCTCCGTCACCCTGGGAGAGGTGACAATAATCCAAGATTTAAATATCTAAACTTGATGTTTTCTACAAATGTTGATTCTCAATTCTTTATTCTTTCTTACCTCAAGATTTATAAAGGTCTTCAATTTGGCATCTATAAGAATAATTTTGCCTCTTGAAGTCAGTTTCCCACTGACTCAAAGAAAATGTCTCAAAGATATATTCAACTACACATGAGAATTAATTTTAGAAAAGAGAATATCCTCAGAACATTTTATTTTTGAAGTGAAATCAAGTTCTATTCATAAAAATCTAGCTTGCATTAACAGTATTTTAAGAATAAAATAATATAAAAGAACTCATTTTATTGCAATATAAGAATCATCAAATAAAGATTTATTTTCTTTCATCTGTAAGTCATGAAATTAAGTTTTAACAAACCCCAGGTGTGAAGGATGCATAAAGACTGCCTCAAATACTATCAACTAGAAAGATTAAATGTCCAAATCTGTGTTTATTATTTCTCATGATAAGTAATTTTAAATAATTTTTTTAAAATGAAAATTTTAAGCTAAAAGACTTATAAATCACTTCAGAACATAAATGTATTACTTTTTTTTTTTTTTTGTCTTTTGTCTTTTTTCCGTATCCGGCAACGGATTGCAACCCTCAGTGTTGCCCCGTACCAGACCGGGGACCGGCAACGGGATCGCAAGCCTCGGTGCTGCTCCCGCGCCTCGCTCAGCCAGCGAGCGGGAACCGGTCTGCATGTGGGATCCGAACCCTCGGGCGGGAGCGCCGCCGCGCTTCCCAAGCGGCGCACCACCCAGTGCGCCACCGGGCCGGCCCATAAATGTATTACTTTTAATTGAAATAACTCAAGCAATTTTCTCAATACTATGATAATAACCGGATGGTAAATAGAGAGTAGTGGTGGAAAACTACCTTCTACACAGATGTATTTATTTCTCCATTCAATACCATCAGGCCTCGGAATGGCTTTGGCTTCACGAACTGAAATCATTTGACTGTTCCAGCTATAAGAAAAACATTAATCATGTTAACTATTTTCATAATTTCCTTTTTTATTACTTTTAGTATATCAGTAGGAAGGCCTACCCTGACTCTCCTAGAAAACACTAAAACTTGCTCCAACCCTCAGCACCACAATCCCCATTTCCCTCCTCTAATTTTTTCTCCCTAGCACTTATCTTCTAACAATTTGCTTTTTTATTATGCTTATTGTTTACTATGTTACTGTGAAGTGCATGTTTCCCCCAAGTAGAATGAAAACTCCAAGATGCTGTGATATTTGTCTATTTTTTTTTTCCTTGTTCACCTAGTTATTTAATACAAACTAAGTATTCAAGTGAAGTAACACAAAAAAAAAGAAAGTGAGAGTAAGCAAAAAAATACATAAAAGCTACTCTGATTGTTAACACCCCAGTAAGAATTTTTTGTTTGTTAAGGGGGAGGTAATTTTCTCATATTATTTTCTGGTAGCATTAAATAATTTTTGTTTAGCTGCATCTTTATTTGTACAATTTGGGAGAAAATTCTGAAACGTTTCAATAGAAGCAAATAGATGCTGTTTTAGGAAAACAAAAATTATACTCTATGAAAATGTACTGTTATTGCTGGAAATCAGATGCAGCTGTTAATAGTGAAATTTTACTCAAGTAAAACAATTTTATCAGTATGTCTGAAGGTAAATTGTCCGGTCTTTAGTATACACTAACTCTATATTTTGTTTTTCAGATTTTTAAACATTTCTTTACATTTCTAACAGTTATTACAAGTATTTTATTTTTTTCAAAGAACATTCTAAAACATATGACCACTCAACTTGTATACATGAGAAAAATAAATTTGAGGACAAGCTAATCTCTACCATTTCAGCAAGCAGAGAAAGACTGTGATTTGGTCCTTCCAACTCCAGCACTCACCCTACACTTCCTCTACAGTTCCATTAGTATAAACGCTAAAAAAGAAAAGGAGCACTCTGTTCTATTGCTTCAAATGTTTCCAAAATTTTCTTTAAAATAATAATATAAAGGAGAGGGTTAAATAACCACATACCTGAACCAAACAAGATTACAGTATTACGCTTTTCATTACTTTATACCAGTTAAGACAAATTTTGCTAATAAAATAAACTTTTTTCCCTGAGACTATTTGTTTCTAATATCAGCTTACAGGACAAATGAATCTGCAGAATTAAAATGGCAAAAATAATTTTTAAAAGGCATAGATTGATTTCCTTCTTTCAGAAGATTTTAGAGTATTGAAATACTATATCCTGCTGTTAAATTATAAACTTTTATTTCCTTAAATCAAAGGACATTATTCTCACCAACTATGCTTCTATTAAATCCAATCCTGAATTTACATTACATACCATTACTTGTTCTAAACTGAGTCACAGAAACAGTTTTAACATATGTAATATTTATTTTATTGATCATCCCTAACCAGATATTATTTAAGCTTCAACCTACAATCAACCCAAGTAACAGTTATTTTAAACGACTATATCATTCAAAGTCCTTCAAAGAGAAAAAAGAATATTTTGAATCACTACCCTTTAGAAAGATTTAATTTATTGCATTTTCAAAGAACTTTTAAATATATCTAAATTATTAAATATTTCAAATCATTAAAACATGAATATAATTTATATACTTTTTAGTTTTAGAGGTGAACTTAAATATAAAATTTAAATGGTAATTTAAAAATAATTTTCCCCAAATATTTCATTCTCTAAAATACACAGGCCATAAATCAAGCCCTTTGTCATACTAATCTATTCTTGACCATAATTTGCTTGCCATGTGAAAATCTGTTATTGTCACTCAATAATTAAAAGTATAAAATAAGATACAGAGTCTATGGAAGAGAGATGTTTCAGAAAAGAATAACAGGTATGGGGCTTAATTTAATCTACAACAGATTTATAATATATGATAATCTTTTGAATATAAAATTGAAATTACTGATTATATTAGTTAGGTCTTTGCTACTCTTCAGTAATGTTAATAGACTGGTACTCAGCAACTAACTCTCTTCCAGCCATTCTTTTGGTGAACAACAGATAGTATTTTGAGATGGTTGATTAAGCTAGAAATGTAGTGTAACAAAGTCAAAATTATGAATTTGATACTTTATGGCTATATATATATATTAAGACTAGTCAAATTAAGTGAACAAATGTATATAGTTTCATTTGATTATTAAGGCTAGGAAGCAAACAGAAAAAAAACTTTGTTAGGGATTTCAAATGTCTTAAGAAGAGAGAAAATTTTACTCTAGTCCTAGAGTTCTGGTTTGTTTTGACTAGATCTTCATCTTCTATCTGACCCTTTCAATGTTGGTGTCCATCAGGGCCCTGCCTCTTTGAATCTTCTTCTAATGCTAGAGTACCTACCCAAGGCTTCAATAATCTGACATTTCTTTCCCAAATCCTCCAGCTCTGACTTTTCTATCAAGCCTGAAGCTAATACAAGCATACTTCAAAGAGTTTTTGGAAAAATAATTAAAAGATAGTACTAATCTTTCCATGAACTTTGTGAAGACCCCTTGTATTTACAACTAACTATTGGTAACTATTGGCTGTCCTACAGATATCCCCTTGTGCCCACACTTTCAAGACTGAATTTAATATATTCTCTCCATGGTCAATTATTAAAATCACTCCCTTGCATATATTCTCAACTCTCTTACTTCCTCTCGATGCACTGAACTAACTTACTTGGCTGAAACGCAACCCTGATGAAATCTATGCCAATTCTTTCCCACACAACTGAACGTAGGGAGAGATGCAACCATGCCGACTGATCGCACTTTAAATTCATGATAACTTAATTCAAAAGGACCTTTAATGCTACTACCCACTAATCATAATATGTTTCCATAGTTAATCCACCCTTTTACTATAGTACATGACAATTCATACCTTCGCATCACTTCTCAAATTTCCTCCCTCATAATCATTCCCAGCTGATGTCCATGCTTCATTTCACTAAAAAAATTAAAGCAATCCAAAGATAATTCCCACTAGCTCCCACCATATTGATTCACCTGTGTTCATCTGCGTCCATATATTCTGCTTTTTCTCCTTGTCAGTGAACTGTCTGTGTTGCTATTCTACTTGTGCTCTATATTCCAACCCTTCCTGACACATGCAAGTATAATGTTCCAACAATTTACTATGCCTTTCCCTGGTACCATCAATTTTGCCATCAAATGGGTTACCTTTTCAGGGGGACTTTCCCTCACCATGCTAGGTATTAAACTGCAGTACAGGTATTGAAACTGCAACAGCTACATACACCAGAACCTCCTTTTTCACTTTTGCTTTATTTTTTCACACTTACCATCTTCTTACACACTACATATTTTATTTGTATATTGTCTTACATCTCCATTCTACAATGTAAACTCCATGAGGGCAAGGACTTTTGCTTTTTTTGTTAACTGCTATATACCTAATCCATAGAAAATAGCTTGGTACATGGTAGGCATTCAATGAATATTTACTGAGTAAATAAAACATGAGAGGAAAGGATCAGAATAAGAATGGAAACAGAAATTTGGGCCTTCATATTCCTTTTTTAAAAATGTACATATTTATGAATGGAGGTATGTATTTTTAATTCAACACATAGGCTAGGAGTAATGACATGTGATTAGGCATCCAGGGAATAAAAGGGATTATAAAACAGGTGTCTTTTAAGGTTCCTAGAATCTACAGTATTCTGAGTCTGTAAGATATTTAGAATTTGAATGTTTCTTTTGCTTTGCTAAAATAAAAAATGATTATATTCTGATTGTACTTTCTCTAATCCCTGAGCCACCTAATCCTTTCCCCCCATTTGTAAGTTCCCTATTCCCAGGTACAACTCTGGAATCCTGGCTTCGTTTTAAGAGTTTTCAACAGCAAGATGTTTGTGAAGTAGGCAAGAAAAATCAGAAATTTTTAAATGGCCATATAAAACTTCTGCAACGTTTATACCATATACTCAAGCACCCCTTAACAGGTACTTAATTCTTTGTCTTTCAAGTAAAGAAATTTTTTTAATTGAATAGCTCAAAACTCAGAAGAAATCCTTACAAACATTTTTAACAGCTGCCAAAATTCTTTTACATACACCTAGTTCATTATTATGACTATACTCTTGGCTGTGCTCCCTAGAGTCAAATTGCTGAAAATATCTCATATGAAACAACAATGCACTTGACAAATGTACTATATCATGAAGTTTCAAAACCTCTTTCCAAGCATCAGCATCCTAGCCAATATCATTTGGCCCAGCAAGCTAGTTCCCATTAATATTAAACTAACGCACAAAGCTATACTTCTATCATCTTTAGTTCAGCAAAGCAGCTTATTTTCAAGATATTTGTATCCAGATGCTCTGATACTAAACTATACATGGTAGAGATACATCTTCTGTGAATTCTTTTCCTCCTCTACAATATTACCCAATGCCTAACTTTATACTATACAACACAATAGACAATGCCAAAACAGTCTAACAATAAGAATGTAGTTTTGGAGTCAGACCTGAATCTGAATCCCAATTCTCCCACTATCTAGCTGTATTCCTGTGGGCAAATTTCACATACACAAATTCCCTGAGTGTGACAGGGATTATTGTGAGGACTAAATAAAACATACAGGAGTCACTCAGTATACTACAGGACACCAGGTAAACACTCACTATACATTAGCTATTATTATTTTGACATCTGAAAAATTAACTCCAGAATAACCATTAAACTTTCACAATCTCTTTACATTACATGTCTCATATAGTCTTAAATTTTACTCATCTTTATACAAGGATACTTCAAAAAGTTGGTGAGAAAATAGAATTAAAAGATAATATGATCTTGGACCGAGCCTGTGGCGCACTCGGGAGAGTGCCGTGCTGGGAGCCCGCCGTGCTGGGAGCCCGCCGTGCTGGGAGCCCAGCAGCGCTCCCGCCCGCGGGTTCGGATCCTATATAGGGATGACCGGTGCCGCTCACAGCGCTCACTAGCTGAGCGCGGTGTGGCCGGTCTCAAAAAGGACAAAAAAAAAGATAATATGATCTTTCAACAAACTTTTTGAAGTACCGTCATACATATAAAGGCTCCTCCCTTTTTATCTTTGTTGCCTGGACTTACACTTTTTAATCTGGATTATTATTTTTTTTTTGTCTTTTTTTTTTTCGTGTCCAGCAACGGATCGCAACCCTCAGTGTCGCGCCCGTACCGGACCGGGCCCGGCACGGGATCGCAACCCTCGGTGTTGCTCCCGTACCTCGCTCAGCCAGTGAGCAGGAACCGGTCTGTATGTGGGATCCCAACCCTCAGCGGGAGCGCCGCCGCGCTTCCCAAGCAGCGCACTGTAGCAGTGCACCACCGGGCCGGCCCAAATCTGGATTATTTTTTAATTTTTAATTTTTAATCTGGATTATTATAACTGCACTCTTACTTAACTACTTTCCTCCAGAGCTTTTCTCACTCCTTTTCTTAACTTAATTCAGTAATTTTTAAGTAATCTTTGAATCATGTCCATGATCTTACTTCCTGCTTCAAAATTATAACAAGTACTTTTCAAATACCCATTATCTGGCACTGGGGTAGGTACTAGGGACACAACTGCAAATATAACAGGCACAAGCAGTCTAGTATAAGCTTTACTTTGAATAATTTGATTAACATTTTTTTGTTCATGTCTTATGTTTCAAATCATCTCATATGAGTAAGGTTTCTTTAGTTACCTGCATCATAGCAGAAAAGACATACCAAAATTGCAGTAAAGTATACTTAAGTATGAATTTTGCAGTCAAAATTATCTGAAATACTACCCTTGCTAGCTAGCTATGTGATCTTGGGGCAAGTTGCTTCATTACTCTATATACCTCAATGTTAAAATAGGCATAATATAATACCACCTCATACGGTTATTATGTAAACTGAATGAGATTACATATATAATCTACTTAGAACAATTTTCCCACCTCAAAATAGCAATTTACTACTATTACTATTATTATTCCTCTCTCCAAAGTCTTCAAAGTGTTCTATAGTCACTGTACCCTCTTCTAACTTTGAACAATTCCTAAAGTCCCCTCTCTTCCTCCTTCAAGCTTTTCCAGGTTGATCAGAAGAGCAGCAAACAACTCCTTACAAGCCCATTCTATCTGGACTTAACTACCACAGAAACTTTCAGTTCTGTATAGCCTGATTACACATTTTATTTGTTTCATGTTTACACATCATCCTCAAAAAAAAAAAAAGGAAAAGACATATTCCTTGATTTGTATATCATACTAACACAACTATTCATTCAGGTATCAAGTGTTGAATAGATTTTTTCAGAGTTGGTCTTAGCTATGTTTTTTATTATAAGTTTAAAGTTCCTAGAAAATAGATATCCAAAACTACACAGCACCTACATATTACCAACACATAGGGCCTACATAGGCCCTACTATGGAATGAGGGAGCTAAACATAAAATGGGATCACTATTGAAATCAACTAAAAATGGGCTTATTAAAATATACTTTTTTTTTTTAACTAGGAAGATAAAATCTATTTAGTTTTTAGTAAATAATTCTTAGATATTAAATTTTATAAACTACACATTTCTAGACAAGCTTACAACATTGCAATCAACAAATATAACTTTCTGACCAAATCTGTAGCATTCACTTATACATAAACACATTCACTTAAACACAATTTAAAGTTTTACTTACTCAAATTCTGTAGCATAATACTTAAGAAAGCCCAGTAAGAGGTCCCCAAGATTTGATTCATTCTTTGAGAGGTAAGGAGGAACATTACATGGAGCTTGATGTACAAGGTGCAGCTGTACAGCAGGACTAAAAGATTCCTGTCAAAAAGAAAAAGGGAAACATGTAAAGCCATTTTAAATACATACTAAAAAACTTCATAAATCCTGACCTAGGCTCTCTGAAGAAAATAACATTTTTCTTTGTATTGACAATTAGGAAACTTGAAGATTTTCTTCCATTAAAGGTTTCACCAGTACTTGGAATAGGCCAGAATGTACCTGTAAAACTAAGATATTCTAATCCTTGGCTTGAGTACATCACTCAGTTAACCAAATAGATCCCTATGGTAGCAAAAGATTTTCTAACTCATTAATAAAACCTTATCATACATACCAAGATTCCTCTTAATAACACAGATTTTTTCATAAATGCATTTCATTCTTCTTAATTATTTCTACAAGGACCAGTTGCACCTTATGTATGAAGAATATACCAAGCACAATGTAAGAGCTTTGTCTAACTGCCCCTTAAAACTTCTCTCAAAGGCCATAAAAGTAACTTCAGTATATAATTAATACTTATACTAATTTTAAGATTTTTAAATTTTGTTTTATTTTGCTTTTGTATTTTGTATCTTACAGGGAAGAGAAGATAGATGTTCAACATGAATTGAATTTGAAAAGACAAAGAAGGCAGGGAAGAGAAGAAAGATATGAAACATACCAACGAGCAATATTCAGCAAACTTTTACCACGGTGTTTATAAAGGTAAATATCATTTGCTTGCAATCCAGACCAAAACAAGACACTTGTTAGAAAGAATACTAATGGGTACTTATTTTTTTTGCTTATGGTATGACATTTATTTTCATATCTGGTCTTTCCTCTATTAGCAGCAAGTTCTAGCTCTAAAATATACTAAATGAACTATAAGCATTCTCAAGTAATATATACTCATAATTTAGAAAATAATATATCTAAGGTAATTTGCACAGTGCCATCAAGAATGGTTTTCTATATTTCCCCATTGCCATGAAAGAAGTAGATTTTTTTTTAAAAAGCAACTGGTTAAGGCAGCAGAATGACAACTACAGTTAAGGTTCCCCGCTATCTAATAAATCACCCTGTGTTTATAGATACCAATTCAATTAATAACATCTAAATAACTTCAAGTTAAAAAATAAAGGCTCCCTAAATAACTAAGTGGTAGCACAAAGAAATAGGATATTGCATCATTTAATGCTAGTCCCCAAAAATGTCGGTAAAAAGAAAGGAGCAAGAAAATAAAAATATCCTTTCCCTTGCCCCATTACCTATTATTCTATCAAAAATTTTTAACTATGAAGAAGTGATTAACTTTCTCTCAGAATAAAAATTCTATTCCAACTACAGTTTATAAAGCTGGCACTCCTAAACTTAAGACTTCCCTTTATATTTCTAACAGCTGTAGTATTACACTGTAAGACTCAAGTAGAAATTTTAATTGTCTAGTCCAAGACCAAGGGGGGCGGGGGTGGGAAGAGAATAAGGGAGAAAACTTAATTTGTTCAGAAGGAAGAACAGATGCAGATGCACTGCCTCCACCCTTTGTCTCTTACTTGTTAAGTGTAATATTGGGCTTAAGGCAACATTTAAAATTGTAAAACTTATTTTCAGGCAAGTCAAACAAAAGGTATAATGTAAATCAAATGATAAGAAAAGTAAATCTCTGTTTAATAGCTTTTGCTCTGAAAGCTTCTTAAAAATTTTTATTCCTAGCACCTAGTACAATAAGCATTCAACTTATGAACTGATGCTAAAATAGAAGTCATTTTCTTACCTGAAGTTTAAAACTGTTTGCACCTCCTTTAAAATTTTTATTTTGTTCAATAATTTAGAGAAAAAGATCCACAACTATGAGATTAAAATTGAAGAGTTGTGAGACCTACTCTATTAAAATGCTAAATGTCCTTGGACCAACAATTGGCCAGTCTTCTCTTAGCTCCACTGTTCTTTTTCATGGTCATATACAAAAAGGGTCATGTCATGCTTACTGAGGGCAAATTAAAAGGAGAAGTCCAAACCTAAAAAGAAAAATATTAGGGTGCACCTAAAAGAAGCTACAAGTAAATAGAAATTCCATCTATCCTTCAGAAATCCCCAGTTTTGGGTAATCATTCACATTACAGAAAGATTCTCTGCTTTAAGAAAGATTTCAACAAAGAATTTCTTTAAAAAGGAGCTCCCAGGCCGGCCCGGTGGCGCGCTGGAGAGTGCGCCGCTCGGGAGTGCGGTGGCGCTCCCGCCGAGGGTTCGGATCCCATGTGGAGACCGGTTCCCGCTCACTGACTGAGCGCGGTGTGAGCGCAACACCGAGGGTTGCGATCCCGTTACCGGTCAGTAAAAAAAGACAAAAGGAAAAAAAAAAAAAAAAAGGGAGCTCCCTCACTACTATTACATGTTTAAGAAAAATACTATTTCAGATAGAATAAAGGGGGGCAGAACTTGAGCTAATATTTTAGGAAGCACATAAAGAGCAATCCAAAAGTCAAGAGGGGGAAAAAAATAGTCTTAAAATCACAACCTAAGTCCATGGAATAGTAATTTAACTGATAACATCTATTTCTTGAACAAATTTTTTTGATTACCAATATTTACTACTGTTAGATATTTTATTTATTTATTTATTTATTTATTATTTATTTTTTATTTTTATTTTTTTTGTCTTTTTGTCTTTTTTCATGTCCGGCAACGGATCGCAACCCTCAGTGTCGCGCCCGTACCGGACCGGGACCGGCAATGGGATCGCAACCCTCGGCGCTGCGTCCGCACCTTGCTCAGCCAGTGAGCGGGAACTGGTCTGTATATGGGATCCGAACCCTCGGCGGGAGCGCCGCCACGCTCCCAAGCGGCGCACTGTAGCAGTGCGCCACCGGGCTGGCCCTACTGTTAGATATTTTAAATAAGGGGAAGATTCCTTCATACATTTTTAGGTTGATATTTTATTTTCAGCTTCTAATAACCAAATGTGTAATGACATACTAATTCCTGAAAACATTCTCCAAATGATATTTAAACATTGATATTTCTGAAGATACATAATCTTCCATTTCTCTTCAATCAATACTAAATGAAGAAAAATTTAAATAGGCAATCTCTTGAAAAACATCTGAAGTCTCACTGGCTTTGCCCACATAACTGCCTACCAAAAAGGGCAAAAACATCTTTTGCCAGATTCCATCATTTTTCTGAAGCTGTGCTATAACATCTTACTTTACCTTCAAAGTTTAAAATTTGGACAATTAAGCACTTTCTGGATTAAGTTAGATTGGCTAACTCCTATTTGGTAACCATTAAAATGATGTAAGGCTTACGTGAAAGATGATTGCTTTCTATCACCAGGCAAACAGAAATTTAAGTTGCATAATTTTCTTTTCTTTTTTTTTTTTGTCTTTTTCATGACTGGTAAGGGGATCACAACCCTTGGTGTGGTGTCGCCCTCACCACGCTCAGCCAGTGAGCGCACCGGCCAGTCCTATATAGGATCCGAACCCATGGCAGTAGCGTTGCTGCGCTCCCAGCGCTGCACTCGTCCACGGGGCTGGCCCAAGTTGCATAATTTTCTAAAAATATGAATTATGAGATGACAGAAATAAATGTTAAGGAAGGTCACAAAGGAAAGAAAAACTGATATGGAATATATAAGTCAAGTTCTGCCTGAACAGGAAGAATTAGGTGATATCTTGAAGTTCCTGCTAACCTATCAGATGAAGATTACCACTAATCTGGTGATTTATGTTAAAGATTGATCACTAAATTTCCTTTAAATTATACATGATTTTTTTGTACCCCATGAAATTAAAAATATAAATAAATAAATAAATAAATAAAATAATATCTGATTTTGGTGAGATTTCTAAAGTTTTAAAATCAACATAAGTATCTAATATATAAAATATAGGTAATACAATGAAGTGGCTAAGAGTATGAGCTTTGGAGTTTGACCTAGGTTTGAAACCTTGCCCTTCTATTAGACATACAAACTTAACCAAGTAACCTAGCTTTCTAAAGCCTCAGCTTCTTCATCTATAAGGAAAATAAATGTACTCATAGGGTCGTTATAAGGACTAAATGATATAATACATCACAGTAGCAACAGTATTATCTATTAATCGTTTAGTATATGCCAGGTATCATTATTAACTGCATATTCATACAATAATGCAACATGGATACCTCCTGAAACTTTCACATATTTCAAAATTAACTTCCTTATGATTGTTAAAATTTAAGTAATGTCAACTTTAAAGCAATGTTTTAGTCATTTAAAAAAATAAATCCTATGGTGCTAGCTAGTTAGCTCAGTTGGTTAGAGTGTGGTGCTGATAACACCAAGGTCCAGGGTTCTATCTTTGTACCAACCAGATGCCAAAAACAAACAAACAACCAAACAAGACTTATTAAAAAAAAAAAAACTTCACCAAAATGTTTAAATTTGTCTTTCTAAAGGTGTTCACTTATGATCTATTTTAGATAATTAATCTCTTCATTCTGTTATATGCATTTTAAAACTGAAAAGAGTTGCTGTAGACATGTATGTATATTATAAATGTAAATTTTAAGGGTTTTTTTTTTTTTACACAGAAGAGCTCTACATTCTCAGAATTCTTTCATAACTATAAAAAAGATTATTTTCTTGTACTCCTATTCTGTTAACATAAATGGCTTCCTTACAGATAGGAAAGGAAACAATTAACTTAAAAAATATAAGTTGTCTTGATAACTCTACCTGGCATAAATTTAGGTAAACCTCAAAATAATATGCTTGCATTAAAATAAAGATGCCTTCATAAGCTTAATCTGTTTATATATTTAAACTTTGTCAGCTCATTTCTTTAACTCAATGGTAAATATTCTGCCCTCTATTTTAAGTCAATAAGAAATAAATAGTAATAATCAATAATCTTATACTAAATGTAGCTTTTAGAGATAAGTTTATAACCTTTCATCCCTTTCCTTTATATTCAATTTCACAACTGAATTGAAATATACTAATTTTTAAAATAAATGTTTTATCATAGATTTTGAGAAGAAAATATAAACATGACTAAAAAGAGCACAATACACTGGGCAACAAATTTTATTCTACACTAAAATATTCTCTCACTTTTAAAATAAAATATTTTAACTATATTAGAAAGGCTCAAAATTCAAAAGAACCTGTGGTTCCCTTTGCAAAGTAGTAAAATTTTTTTTTGTAACTGTAAAGTTTTAAATCATTCACAAAGTTATTGACATATGCAGAAATTTTTTCATATCTGATTTTCTTAAAGAAAGGTCTATCTATATAAGAATAATCAGATATAAACAAATAAAATGTAATAAGCAACAGAAATTAGATGAAATGTTAGTGAATACTGTTGTAATTTTGCTTTCCCCTAGGAAGCAGAGTATAAAGGAAAAAATACCGGTTTCTGGATCCAGCATTTGTGACTACACAGCTGGGATCAATTAAGTAACCTTTCTAAGACTTACTTTCTTCTTCAGTGAAATGGGGATAGTATCTTGCAAGTTTATTTCTTCGGGATTAAAGAAACTGTGTATATAATTTACACTGTCCTGACATATAATGGATACTAAATAAATAATGGTTATTATTAGTAATAAGAAACTGATTTATTTGTTCCATCAGAGGGACCACTGTAAAAGTGCTCTGTTAATCAGCTTATAAGTTTCATATAAAACAAAAAATCCTGTGTAATAGAAGGTAGCAAGCTCTTATCTATGTAAGCATCAATCTTATAGTAAATTTAATGGGGTTTAAATATTTATGATGGCAATATAACCATGCCTGAATGCAAATTAGGACAGTCCTAATCTAGCAGGTCTTGCTATTAGTATTTTTTAAGGCCTTGGTGCTGGGCTAGTATTAAATCTATTTCTCCATTACAAGTATAGAAATAGAATTATTAGCAAAACGGGGGTGGAGAGTGTAGAACCAGAGGTAGTGGATGTGAACAGAAATCAGGACTCTGTCACGCGGGAAAGCTAGACAATTAGAAAAACAGCACAAAAGTGAAAATGGGGCTGTTCAAATTAAAATATATTAGTAAGAACCTGGGTATTTTACCATAAAAGCAGTATCTTTGTCCCCAAGCACAGTACACTAAACTGATATTTCATCAGTATCTAATATTAGTAAAAAGGATTCCATGTAGCATAGGGTTTTAAGTGAAATTTCTGCAGAAGCATTTTTCAATACACAATAGATTCTTTCAAGGAAAAGTTTAATTATTAGATCCTTTGTATAATGAAAAACATATGCAGCTCTTTCTACATAAAACCCAGGTCTTAAAGAAAAACAAGGTTGGGACAATAAAATAAAACACACAGCCATTATCTTTGACCTTTCAGTATGAGCTAAAGAATCAATACTTCATGGAAAGAAAGCATCCAAGCCAAAAAGTTCAACTTACTTTTATTTCTGTACTATCTGGTGCTTTTATTTTTCATAACGTTTAAGAAAGCATAGAAACTGATCCATAGCTATATCAGGAACTCATTATAGTAGGTCTTCAAAACAGCAGAAATTAATTTTAAAAAGGAAGAAGATAGCCAGATTCCAAAAGGTTCTTGTCATAGTGTCTTCTAGTAGATGATCCACCAGAAACTGGGAGACCCTCACTACAGCAAGACTCTATTATAATGAACCTTTATTATGTAGCATCTTGCACACGTGCATTATACAATAATAATCTTCAAAAACAAGAATATCAGTTCTTCTCAATTATCAGAGATTAAACTATATTGAGTTGATGTTCCATGTCAAGTACATTTATAATATATTGTGTGATACAACAAAATAAGTAAGTTCTTTGAAAATTGATCATCCACGCTGGATATTATATTTTCCTTTGTAATATAACCACTTAGTAAGTTTAGAAAACATCTCTTAGTCTGGCTGATTAGTTCAGTTGGGTAGAGCATGGTATTGGAACACTAAGGTCAAGGGTACAGATCCCTGTACAAGCCAGTTGCCAAAAAAAGAAAGAAAAAAAACCAAACTCTCCTTATAGTGCAACTAACAGGTAAAAATTATGTGGTTTCAGAAGACTGGTAAAACATTCTAAGCATTCTAAGTAGCTTAAATATTATTTTCAAATAAAACCAGGAACAAGAACGACTATGGAAGAAAACAGAAATGGTAGCACTTATAAAACAAGAAAACAGAATTCTAGGAGAAAGAACACATGAAAACTAGAAAAGAAATAAAAGGATTCATATAGATTATGAATAGGGACAACATCTAGATTTCTCTAAACTCAAACTGAGTACATACTAAAGTTTTTCTAGGCATACTTCATTTCTTGAATGTTTCCAATTAATTTCAACAGGATTCTTAATATTATGAAGACAAGAATAGTGTACTAATGTTACTTCTTTTGGTGTATTACTTGATGAGATCAAATGAAAGATAAAAAATTATCCAATTGTTCAACTTCTTTTTCCTCCTGCTTTTCACAGTATAAATACACTGGTCTGAAAAATTTCTCAGTTACTAACTAAAGAAGTGTGGTAAAACTATATTTAAAACAGTATGAGGAAAACTAGAATAAGGCCAAATGTGCCTTGACCAACTGAGAATATTTAATCTCCACCAGTGATAACCATGAGCATCACGCAAAAAACTTAACTGACTAGATTGTCTGCCAATAATCCAATAAAGCATCAGTTTTCTGAAAAAGTATATGATACATTTTAAAAGTTCTAGTGGCCAATGCCTCAGCCTGCATAGAAAATGTTATCATGTACTTAGCCTTACTACTTTTATATTCACATTTATACTGCATATAATAGTTCTTCATACACTTGACATAATATGTATTATAATAATTTATAAGAAACACTTACTGGGTAAATTTTTTGGAGGGATGGAAGGATGGGTTCAGGTAGGGCTATAAAAAGAAAAAGTTTAAAGCTTCCGTGATTCACATAATTCATTTTACAAGGCAATAATTTGTCAGCTACACCCAGGTATGAGACTACAAGGGTTTACACTAAAATTAAACAGTTTTCACATATTTCATAAAATTAATTCTGATCCCTAAAAATTTAAATTTAAAATATATCTAAGTTGACAATTTAAGGTTTTGTGAACAAACTATGTATATTCCTATGTAAACCAACATTCCTTACAAAGTTTTAGAATAGTAGGCTGTCAATAAAGGAATATACATCATTTGGCCCAACATCAGACACACACACAAAATAAGCAAGACAAGGATTGTTGTACAGATACTGAATAGACATTGTTAAGATGAATGCAGATACCAAAAAAATATAATTTTAAAAGACTAATTCAATAATACTATATCACGACAGAACAAAAGTTCTGTCATAACTGTCCCTTTATTATTTAATTTCCACTAACAAATAATATCGAAATTAAGAAATTCCTGGAAACCAGTTTATTAAAAAAAAATTTCTAAACTGATAAAAACCCTCCAACTTCCTTGATATATATTTTTAAAAGAACACCTCAGCAAAGGTTAGAAATCTAAATCATGAGATTTGTACCCATCTGCTATAACATAAATAAAATTTCATACAAAGAAATCATTATCCTCATATTTCTTGTCATTTTTCACCACTCAATAGTTTTAAACAAATCCAATTTCATTAAATGCATTAACAGTAATTTCATATCATTATAATGTAAATGGAATAACATAAAATGCAAAGTTCCTAATTTTTACAATGTAAGAAATAATCATAAAATATAATGTCTTGAGGGTAGCAGAATAAAAGTAATGCATTTTTCAAGATTTCTTTGATATTAGAGACCAAATATAGTACCATATGATACTTTGTATTTAAGAAATAAACTCAGTAACAAAGAATATTTAATTATTTTAAATTTGCTATTTAGAGAAAACTTATAAAAAGGACTTCCAGAATACATTAATGTACATGTAATCAACCATTATGACCAATTTATATGGTTTCCTACTATAATTACAAGGGTATAAGTTTCTACCACATAGTACAGACTAGGATACTTTATTTAAATATCCCGTCTAGATCATGCTTCATTCCCAATAGAAAATAGAAAAAAAATAAATTTCACAATAGTCTGCATGTTTACAGTGTATGACAGAGAATACTAGGAGAAAAATCTCACTCATTACTTACCAGAATCACTCTTAAGAAGTAAGGATACATGCATTTTTTCCCCAGAGGCATTCAAATACTCGGAATTCTAGAAGACCCTCCAAGTAAACTCAAGCCCCAGTCACTTTAATCCTAAACATCTCTATGTTTATATAATACTTTTTAATGGCTTTCTATTAATTTTTCTTCTTTTATAATACAAAACTCAAATTGTAAAATCTTATTAGAAATTTGTTTATTTAAAAACCTGAGGGCTTGCTAGTTAGCTCAGTTGGTTAGAGCATGGTCTTATAACACAAAGGTCAAGGGGTTTGGATCCCTGTACTGGCCAGCTGCCAAAAAATACCAAAAAGCAAAAAACCTGAATTTCTTTGCCATTGAGTACCCTGGTAAATTAAAATTATAATAAAACAAAGGACAAAGAAAACACTGTAGACAATTAGAAAAAAGTAATTTTACCTCATTCTAGAACCATAATTAGAATGCTAGGAGAGAAAAATAAATGCTAATCACTGGTTTAGGATCTTTCAATGGACAAAGAGCAATCTGGAAGCTTTTGGTGGCAGGGATATCATTCAATAAATTCCTTGTCTTACAACATTAAGATTTATAAACACTAGTCATTAGAGAAGCAAAGAGTGTACTGAGGCAGTTACTTATTAACACTATCCTGATGGTAGCCTCAAAGAGTTTAGTCATTTTTAAAATGTTTATCTTACTCCAAAGCAACATCAATTCTGGAAGAATCTGGCTATATCATCTATTTTGACTTCACCATTTTGGACTATAGATCCAATCTTTCAAATTTCTATTTCAAAAGCAAACTAAGACAGAATCTTATTACTCCAGCACATGATTAATAGGTAATACCTTGAGTATAGCTAACCTATAAGATTTTACTTTGCCTACAGTTTGGATGAGAGTTTGATGGTCATGCCCCTACAAATTTATACCCATCAAATTTCCAAACTGACTTATCAAAAATTCAACTACTAAAACAGATCTTCAACCATTAATTTTGGTAATGAAAGAACAATTTAAAAATGTCTACTAGACAGTTCTGTACCTGGAAACATGGTAAACTTGCCATGAACATTCATTCATATTATTATTTCTAACAAATCGATAATTTTACCTTCATCATTAACTCTTAATCTTTAAATTAAAATCTCTTCTCAATGTGTTTTTCCCCTCATACTTTGATCAGTCATTTTAAGTATATGTAGTCTATCACTGACTATTAATATTTATTCCAAGAAATGCTTTAGTTAATCATTTTAACCTTTCTACATACAGAAGACCTGTTTCTTCTCTTTTGTGGCAGAAAAGATATTGAAGTACTTAAGAAATTAAGCAAAACTTAAAGTTCATTTAATCCAACTATTTATGTTACAGATGAGAATATTAAGGCCAGAAATATATAATACCCTGACCAAAATCATAAAAACTACTTCTCTGTGTCAGAGCTGGAAGTGCTCAATACACCTTGCAGACTCTTGTACGCTCTCTTCCTTCACAGTAATATGATACTGCCAAGAAAAGCAACTACCTATCTTAATCACTCACTTTAGTTTTAGTCTAGGAGTAGCTTTAATTTGCCAGTATGGAGTTACACATTAGCTCTGAGTAGCTGATGTCCTTCAAGATAGATGTAGATACAGTTGATATCATAATAGTGTCATTAATTATAAATCTCAGTAAATGGAACCACTTTGTTCAAAATAAAATATGTTTGGGGGCTGGCTGGTTAGCTCAGTTGGTTAGACCACAGCCTTATAACCAGGGTCATGGGTTCTGATCCCCTTACCAGCCAGCTATCAAAAATATAAAAAATTTTTTAAAAATAATTAATAACAACAGGGACTTTCGGTCAAGTTGGCGGAATAGACGGTCCCCAGTGTCACTCTCTCCACAAATCAACAAATTTACAAGTATAAAGTATAAAAAAGCAACAACAGCCAAGCTGGGGCTGCTAGAGCTCAGGGGAAGAGGAGGAAAGACCTACAGAGTGCATGAAGGCAGGAGAAGCCACAATGAGAAAGAAAAAAACCACTCAGACCATTTCAAGCCCTGGCTGCGTCCAGGCTGGAGCTGCTGAGCGCATGGAGCTGGAGCTGGCAAAAGCCACAGCTGTGCCCTCTGGATGAAGTTGCTTGGAGGCGGCAGGGGAGAAGAGGGCCTTGGCGAACCTAGGCCAGCAAGACCACTAATAGAGCTCCCATGGACTCACACAGGAGTGAGGAACCACAACAACTGAAGAAAAGGAGCCACTCAGAGGCCGGTGAGTCATCACAAGGGACCAGCACATGGCCTGTCCCATGAGAAGTGCTTGTAGCAAGGAAGTGGGGGAGACGGGCCCACCAGGAGAACGCTGGGGCATAGCAAGGACAGCTGATCTGTACCCCTATCAGCAAAGGACCACTCAGAGAAGACTGGTCAGGAATATAGAATTGCATGGGGTGCAGTTTGACAAAAATATGCAGGCTCAGACCAGAGTTTCGGATCTCTCGAGAGCCGGAAGTACCTATAAAGTCAACCATTAAAACCTGAGCTACACAAAAAGGCTTCCCTAGGGAAGCAACAGCAAAGCAGCAATCTAGCTCAACCACACGGCTCAAGTACTGGTCCCTACAGGAAGTTCCCCCATTTTAGAAGTAAGCAAAGAACAACAAATCAGTTCCAGTGCAGAGTTCAAATGGTGGGAACAGCAAATAATCTAACACAGAACTGAAAGAAAAAAAAAAAGTACCCACAATCAGAAACAAAGTTTCATACGAACTAGTAAAGGTCTCATTTCACCAAAGAACACCTATAACACACAGAAGGACCAGAGGTCCCCTGGGATACCAAGCCAGAAAGGGGGTAGGGCCAGGGGCCTCAGAAATGCCCCCCCAACACCCGCAGCCAGCCCAGTGTGACCCCCGTACCACCACAGGAAGTGCCCTGGTCTCTCCTGACCCAGGGCGCTGGGGGGCCAAGGGACTCAGCCACACACCCCCAATGCATGCAACTAGCCCAGCAATGACCCCACACTGCAGCCAGAAGAGCCCCAGTTCCCAAGCTGGGACAGTGGGGGGTGAGGGCTTTTCCACACCCCCCAGACATCTGCACCCAGCCCAGCAATGACCAAGCCACTGCTGGAAGCCCCCCAGTCTCCCCTATGGGAATGAGGGGGGTGCCACAGGCCTCAATCCCACCCCTCCTCCTCCCACCTTCTTCCACCCCATTTCTTTCCCCTTTTCCTTCTCCCCCTCCCTTCCAACTGCTCTGCAACAACATCCTAGAATGCAAAAAATATTAATAAAATTTGATTTTCTAAAAAAATAAATAAAATAAAATATGTTTAACAAAATCTAAACCAAACGCTAACATGATTACATTACACTGGCAAAATACTGTTCAAATTGTCGATTTGCTTGCAAAACCACCTTGCAGCACCTGTGATTAAAATACATTTTTCTGAAGAAGTCAATCAAATTAAAATTTTTAATGTAACTACTAAGAATAGAGGAATAGGACACATATTATAAATGTTAATGTATGTTAAATGCTTTCGTCAAATCTAATTTTTAAATCACTAGTAAAACTAAAATATGAACAGATATTGGATGGTGGTACGTGTTATATTATTCTTCATATATTTTATAAGAAATCCTTCAAATCTATTCAATTTTTAATAAAAGTGAATTGCAATCCACAAGCAGAGTTCACTATAAAAACTCCTCAAAAGTAATACGTTTCAGATTTTTGTAAAATGATTAGTGACATATGAATTAGTATCTAA